CGCGGGAATCGCCGGTTTCCTCAAGCTCTGCCGCTGGAAAGGGACTGCTTTCCCTTCGTCCCTGCCAGGCCGGGTGCATGACCTTCCCTCGCACGTATCTCTCTGACGTGTGTCCTTGGTCCCCTTCCAGGCAGGCCGTGACCTGGCACTGGTCCCACTGTTCGCCAGATCCATCCCCAGCCTTCCCGCAGGCCCGTCCCGCCCGCGGCCCCAGGGCGGCCCCAGCCCCGCCCGCCCAAGGAGCCGAGCACAGCAGCTGCCACTTGCGCTGAAGTCCAAAGGCTTCACTGCCGGCAGGGCACTTTCCGAGCTCTCTGCACTGTATTTACTCACCTTGAATCTTTGCTGTTTGTGCGGAGCTACCTCAGTGCCAGAGAGGAATGAAATGTTTTTGAACTCCCACACGAACAGCTTCGTATATAGACTGTAAACAGATGCTTTAATGGCCTTTTCCTGCACACCACACACAGCCTTTTTCCTTTATTTAGGGATTTCTCATTTCTGCAAACTTTTTACTTACTGTCTATTCTTCTATCCCTCTTCACATTGAACAAAAGTACTGTCTATACCTAACTCCACCCTTATCTTTCATTTAAAGAGGTTCTCAGGAAGCTCTTCTGTATGTTCTCAGGAAGCTCTTCTGTAGCTTCTCCAGACAACCTAACCAAAGGCAGAAGTTCTGGAAGCAATGGGTTGCTTTTGTGAATTAGGGTCCCAGCATAGATGTGAACAAATTTCTTACTTGTTGTGTCCCAAACCTATCAATGCCAAAAATAACAGGCAAAGCACCAAAGGACTCACACAAGAGGGAGGGGGGCATGTAAACAGTGTATAAACAATTTTAACTGAACTAAAACTGTTTTTACAAAGCTTCAACCTGTTTCAGAAAAGTTGTTCTACCACAAACATAGATCGAGCCTGTAGCAAAACAGCAGTGTGACTTTGGCCACTAAACATTTTGCAGCTCCCCCCATTATATATACACATACATTCCAGCCAAAATTAGAACTACTGCATACTTGAAACACAAGGGCTGCGTTACAGCTCCAGGGTTTGCTCTCATTTGAGTGGAGGAGCAGGTTGTTGAACAACATGCATCACACAATTGAAGTAGGTCTCTTCTGCTTTCTCAGAAACACTTGTCTCATATTTTCCCAAGATCCTTTTGAAGAAAGCAGTTATGGTAGCATGACAGTAAATTAATTCCTTATTCTACTGTTAGAGTGAGACTGATGCTGAAAAAAAGAAAAAAATTTGGAAAACACAAATCACAAATTTGAATAAGGAAGAAATTACAACAAAACAAGTTATAACATCACATCTTGCATTTAAATCAATGTAAAAGCTTTTCTAAAACTGGATTGTCTGAGGCAGTGGCATTTGTAGGATTTTCCAGATAACGTGAATACAAGACAGCATTCAAATAACCTGCACACAGGAATTTCTGCCCAGTCCCAATCTGGAGTGCATCAGTTTGCACTAAAACCAGCACCAGAGGCAATGTAAACAAATCACCTACAAGCCTGCAAAAAGCCTTCAGAGGAGGGAAAAGGCCTGACTTTTTATGCCTGTGTCATCACTGAGGGTGTTGCATCTGTGTCAAGGGAAGGACCAGAAATTCCAGCTCCCACTGGAGTTTCTTTAAGGTCAGTGCAGCACAGGTCAAGTGCTGGCACTCAGGGCTGGACAGTTCTGTGACCTTCCTGCACCACAAAAAACTGTCAGCACAAACAAAAGGGTGTTCGGCAGGATTCAATGCACCCCAAGCTGTGACCCCATCTCTGCTTTACAGTAAAAATTGTCGGAAGTGAGCAGGGACCAGAAGATGCCGAAGAGGAAGAGCCGGTCTGTCCTGCGGAGCTGTGCGCCGGCGCTGAGCGCCAGGTGGAGCTCGGAGATGTAACCCTGGCCAGCAGGAGTGCACGGGAGCGCCTGACCCACATTCCTTAAATCCTACTACCTTTAACACCTCGGGGGACAAAATCTCCCCTTCATCACACCTGTGATACCATTGTTACTGGAGCCGCCTTTAGTGCCTGTAGGCATGCAAGAGGTGGCTGGAAGGGGATGGAAGTCTGCAGCATCGTTTCCTCGCTTTCTAAGCTTCCTTCGCATACCATCTGAGTGGTGTAGCCTGTAGTATACTGAAAGCCTGATAATAAGACAGATGACATCTGTTTAGGTCACATATCTGAAAGGATTAATGCTCCCAAAGACTTACTTACAAGCTGCAGCTTAGTACTCTGCTATCTGAACACATTGGCCCCGGTACATGTGATGGCTGTCAGCTCAAGGCTCAGCACTTCTACAGCTCGAGAAAGATGGAAGCTAGACATCCAAGCAACCAGGGCAAAGGATATGCACCATTCCCTTCATGGATACAGTAAAAGCCACAAGCAATGTGTGCCAAGTCTGGTGAAAGAGTTCCAGGGGAAAGAAACAACTTCATGGCACTAGTTTTGCCTGTGGCAAGGTGCTGCCCCACAGAAAATGGACATGCTCAATCCAGCTGGCAGTGGTGAAAAGGGAGCATAACCATTTTTATTTGGGGCACAACTGATGTCTGAAAGTTGCTTTCTGAACAAGAAAAGGAACAAAACTAGTCCACATCACCCACAAAGCTTACTCATCTCTTTCCCTTTAAAACCACATGGCTCCATAGAATTGGTCCTGTGGAGGGGCAGGGGAGTGGGATGACACGGATTATAGCATCAACAGAAAGCACCACAAGGTTCTTGTGCCTTCCTCGGCAGGCATGAGGCGCTTGCAGGACACAGTACTTGTGGACAGGCAGTACCTGCAGACACGAGCAGCCCAGGGCTCTGCACACAGGCTCACAGGCATAAGGTTCCCCTGTTTTGATGAGGGTCAGCTGGATCTTGTGGCCTGTGTAAATAACTGTTTTGGGAAGAAGCTGAATAGAACATTATATTCTCCATTTCAGATCCACAGTTCTGAATGGAGGGAAAAGAAATAAAATTTAGAAATCAGTTCTAGACCCTAAAGTCCCCTGAAGGGGAAAGACACAAGAGACTGACGCAGCAAGTTCCACTAAGTTATTTAACTGGTACCATGAGTGTTGATTAGAATTATTTCCAACTCATAAACCCACATGCTGCTTCTTTCTCTCTTGCCAATTAACAGTATTACTTAGCACTAATAAACTGCTTTCATTTTCAAGGGGCTTAAGAAGACAATCACCTCAACATGACTGAAAGGAACAGATGGCAATGAAGTATTAACATCACAATTTCACAGTTGGAAAAGCTTCTGAGAGAGGGGGCAGTAGCAGTGTCTGGAGGATACCTAGTCCTGTTCCCTGTGTGGAGCTGGAATCCCTTGATCTCGCCTCCACTCTCAGCCTCTGCTTTAATCGAACCTCACCACACATTACCTTTCCTAGAGCAAAGCTAGACTGTTTTTCTTATCCATTCTTTAATAGTTACTTACATCCTTCTAGATGGCCTCTTACCTCAGCACATCTCCAGACAGGTTGCTACTGCTTTGGATTTAAAAGACTAAATGTCTATCCAATAATGCAATTAGTCCAGCCTGTCATTATTCTTACTGGCTATCAGCAGAGAAGTGATCAGGAAGAAACACATTGCTCTATCCATACAGCGGGGATGCTCTTTTCCCCTGAAACATCTTGGTTACATTTCAGTACAAAACAGCTGACTGCCTTTTCCTCTTCTCACTCACCCATCTCAGAGGAGGACTGTGCAAAAGTGCTGTTCTGTGGGGCCTTTTGGCTCAGCTATACAACAAAAACTTTCTTAAGCTACATCTGGAAGGAAGATAGGCCTTCTGTGGAACACGGGTTCCTAAGGCAAAACATGTTCAGGTGAGGACTAAACAAACAAATACAATGATTTTAATAGTAACTGATGTAACAATGACTAAGCAACTGTTTAGAGTGCTGTTTTGGCTTTTTTTAAAGAACTGATTTAACTATGGAATGTTTTTATTTAAAGCATTGAGATAATACCCTCTATTTCAGTATTTAACCCCAAAGATTATCTCAAATTGAAACTGAAGCAGTAATAGTGCCAAATGTCTGACAGGAAACCTCCTTCAGGAATGGTAACAGTAAGTACTACTTCAGAATGAAATTAATTATTCAGAACTATTTCAGCACATACTGATATTAGTATCAATTACCTTCAATCTCTTCTGAGCCACTGAGCTAATATCTCAACACATTATCAATGCCAGCCATCAAGTATCAATCTATAATGTACAATGAAATCCTTCTATAGACGTTAGTGTCTAGGGACAACATAACATATCCAAACTACTGCATTACCTGGGGCTGTTCCTGCATGTTAACGTAAAGAAGATGTGCGAGTGTGCCAGTGCATCCCTCCCTGAGAATTCCTGGGGAAGGCATCCCCAGTCTGCTCAGCTGGAACTGGTACCTGAGCACTCAGGCATGGTGCAATGCAAACTAGTTTTCAAATGGACTTGAGAAAATAATACACACTATTTCACCCCAGCTTGACAAGCATCTGTGTTCAGCATTGGCCCACTCAGTTTTCAATCTAGTGTGAGTTTTCCTGCTATTTTATTTATATTTAAGAGTAGAATGTAATGGATGTGGATTTTCCTAAATTAGAAAATATCAAAAACAGAGTTATCACATTTACAAGAGTAACACTTCAACAGAGAATACTTAATATACAAAATGGCTGCATTTGATTTTTTTAGAAACTGAACCCAAATGCAAAGTGAATCCAAATAGCCCTTTTTAAAAAACTTCGATTGTACAAGTAAAACAACTTGTTTTATCCCTGTAGCTAATATTCAGATGAATGTTTGTTGTTGGGTTTTTTTCTCAGATTTCCATTATATTTTGTACTTTAAACCTTTCCAAAAGTGTAGGAAGTTCTCAAACATAAACACTATTTATTGTAAATAATGGAAACCCTGATTAATAACATGAAGATTCAGAATGCCTGTATGAGCATCTGTTTTTCTGAACTTGCAAATCATTGGTATCCTTTGCCTTTACTTGTAATTTATTTTTCTCATTCAGGAATGATAATCATATTCAGGACTGTAGTCATACCAATGCATAAACCATAACTGACACCAGAACTGTATCAAATACAAGAATTGTTCCAGGTTTTATAGCACAAGAGACAAAGAGTTCAAGGGATTTTGCTATATTATTCCAGTTCCTTCTACAAAATCTCTCTTTCTGACCAGTTTGATACTGGTCTTATTTATATCATCTCCCTACATCTGGGGGCTTTATTTTGGATAGGTGCTAGGAATGGTAGGGGTGGGAAGGAGAATACAGTTTTTCCATATGTCAAATAAAGTATGGATATAAAGTATTGGAAGGTACTCTTGCTATTTTAAAACTTTAGTTTGACTCTTCAGATCTTTAATTCTCCTGTACATGTGAGGACAAGCTAACAGACAGCATAAGGTTTTAGAACACTATAGTACTTAAAATTCTCAAAGTGTAATGTTTGAAGAAATGGGAAAAATTAACATTCAATATTCTGGACCATAAAATAAGCCTGTATAGAAACTGCTTAACTAAACTCTAAATAACAGCAGAGCAATTTTATTTAGTTACTCATTACTTCCTTACTCCAATTAAAGCTTCAATAAAAGGAATTTTAACATTCAGAATCATTAGCAGAACTTAGATGTTCACAGCTATAGAGGCATCCTGAGTAAGGCATTATATTCCAGTGGCTTCACACTTGGTTTGTATAAAACTCATTTTGAGCTCAGACCTCTCTGAAGCCAAAGTCCCAGGGTCTGAATGAAGCCTCCTGAATGCAAGGTGAATTTCACAGGAGCCAGCTTATTAAATTCCACTTTGTCCAGGAGTGAAAAGATGATCTTGAACCACTCTACATCATTAAATTAATGCATCACAGGTCATTCCAACTAGGAGGTCCTACATTTAAGGATTTTATAGATGAACGTTTAAAGCTCTCCTAATCACCAGGGGTTCCTCTTGATATGCAAATGTCACATGAACATTAAGGTGTCAGTCTGCTAATTTTCTGGAAAAAAAAACACACCAAACCAATAAAGCACAACCACACACATGTAAAGAGAAGTCCATAATTGCACAGCAGTAAGTTCTCAGACACTGCAAATTTTCTTTTGAGACAGAAATTAATGTTTCTCTTCCCTCTCACAAAAAAAAAAAAAATATTGCACATCTAATTTCCCCAACAATCTGAGGCATTCACCAAAGGCACATATGACACTAGAAATAGAATTCTCAGCTTCCTTGACAAATCTTTTACTTCAAACAGGCCCTGGACGTTGGCTGCACTACACTATAACAGGTTTCTCACTGAAAACTTGTTTGTGAAGTTGTTTCTAGAAGAAAATAAATCTTTAAGCTGCCCAAATGACCAAGGCACTCAGAATAACCTTAGGACTGTCCTTTGGGGAAGACACAAGGTCTCACTTTCAGCAGACGCCTGACGTCAGACCAGAGAGGGAACACAAGACAGGCAAAGGTTATGTGCAAACTGTCCCCTGTGGCTTATGCAAGAGCCAAATAACCACTGCTCAGGATAGATGCACATAAAAAGAACTCACTGGAAATTGCTTTTAATATAAACAAACCGAAACTGCTTGTGAGTTGTAGGGTATGGTGGTGCCATAGGCTAATCTGAACAGCTTCCATCTCAGGTCTCTAAAACAAGCACTCAGTAAGCAATTCACATTACATCAGTCATCTTTGTAACATGTACATTTTGTAACACTGTACATTTGTGTCAATCACTTGGTAAACATAAGTTCTTGATATTCAGAGTGTAATTCATCATAACTACAAACTAATTGGAAAGTTGATGGAGTGTCCTCCAACTGTACATGAGCTTGCTAAGGGAAGAGTTCAGACTAGCAACACTAAAATTACTTCACAGTTATGTAGAAAAAAGTTACAATTCTTTGTCATAGAACATTACACTAGTTTGTTATTTTTTCTACAGTTAAAGTGGGCTTATATTCAGGATTATTAAATTAACAGCAAAACAGCTGCCAAAACAATTTAAGGGTGTGATTGAAAGCTAAGAACTTTGATTAAAGCATAATTTTAAACTTTGTTTTCTAACCCTAAATTATTAAAATACAGAAAAGAGTTATCATTATTTCAAAAAAATGTGTCATTAAAAAAGAAGTTCCATTCCTTACAATACAGTTTAACACTAACATAGAAGGAATCAGTGCTACATTAAATACAGTCAAGAGCATTTGGATGGCATTATTTAAGTATATTCTTATGCTCTCTGTTATATGGTCCAGCCATGGACTTCTCCTTGCTTTAATGTATATTTGATGTTCACTGAAGTTTTCCCTCTCATCCTGATGTGGGCTGTCCACATATACTGTGTTAACGCTTAAGAGTCAGCATTTATGTACAATTTAAAAGCAGCACAGCAATCCTACAGTCTACAGCTGGGCTCACTCCACTGCAGTACTGGAGCGAGCACAACAGCTTGGATATCTCAGGGAATGCATCATTGTTCTGAAAGGCCTTTTTTTCCCAGTTTTTTCAGGGGGTGGCTCCTTATTGCTTTTCTCAGCAGGCTCTGTCTGGAACTGTTCTATTTGAAACTCGAGATGTTTTTGAATGGCTACCCCAAGGACTTCCGGATCCACAGATGCCCCATACACTTCCCATGTCATTCCTTCATCATCCCATCTCACTTCACGAACTGGAGATTTGGGGGCCTCCGAGCCTTGCTCCAGGTTCACCTCTGGGAACACGTGTGAGTGACCTTCTGCTTCAGCTGCTGGGCTTGTTGCCACCGATTTGCATTCCATGGTTGGAAGAGTTTGTACCTCGGCATCTCTGCGCTCCAGAGCTGCTTTTAGGCCTTTGGTTATGTCATTCATAGAGGTCATAGTCCACATATCCTTAGTTGTCACTACCATGTCTGCACCTTGCTGGCTGCTCAGAGCAACATGGGCAGCCTTGGCTTCTGGAGGAGCTCTCTCCTGTGGAACAGGTTGAAGCTGTTCTCCAGGAATGTTACAGCACTTCAGGATTTTCTTGGCATCCAGGCCTGATTCACTTACTGAAGACACCAGCTTAGGATATGTCAAAATGTCTGAAGCAGAAAAGGAATGAAAGTAGCCAGGTGCTGCCTGCTCGTTTCCTGTCTCACTGGCAGAGCACACCAACCGTGGCACGAGCTGGATGGATGGGATGGGCAAGGAGTGGCAATAGGCCGGGATGGTGGCATCTGCCTTCAGGGCGTCCTGCCTGAGACTGCAGGGCCCTGCTGAGTTACTGTGAACTGTCATTGCCATGGGGGAGTACACAGAGTTTGGAATGTTACCATAAGTCAGACCCCCATGAATAATCCCAGGGGCTTGACTGAACATTGTCCTGTTTTGGAAACTGTTTCCAGGCATGTGGGGTCCAAGAACAGCAGCATGAAATGTGCCAGGATCTGTGTAAACAGTAGTGTTACGTGGAATACTGCCACTGTCAAAGGTGTTTGTGGGTACTTGTTGGTCTCTAGGTAGGACTGGAAGATGAGTCACAAGGTTTTGATAGTGAGATGTATTTTGATTTGTTTCTGATCCGTATCTCTGCATTTGGTCAGACATCCTAGCCACTGGCAGACTATGACTGCAGCCAGAAGAGCTTAGGCTGGAGTAAGTAGCACTGGTTTCTATGTGAGTGACATGAATCTGCTGTTTGCAGCTGCAGGTTAGGTCAGAGTGGCTTCTCTGAAGGGCAGTTCCTGATTCTTCCATTTTACACATGCCTTGCTGGTGAACAAAGCAGGCTGAAGAAACATTCTCAGTAGTGCTGCTCTTTACACACATCCTAGTGTCCCCCACTCCCCAGGACGCTGAGGACTGTTCAGTGACAAGAACATGGTTTGTATACTTAGTTCTTCCCTCTGAATGGTCATTGGCTGACTGGTCATTTATGGTTTGCACCTCTGATCCAAGTCCCATCATCCCAGGCTGTGAGGAGGACCATCCAGGACTCTGCACGCTCCTTGCATCACTCCTGTTTTCCAGGATATGGCAGATGGTGCTACTATAGCTTTTCTTCAGCTCCTGTTTGTTTTGCCTTTCCTCGAAACTCCTTGAGTGCCCAATACAGGTCAGATTTGAGGAGCTCTTGGATAGGGGATGACTGTTGACATTCAAGAGACTGGGACAAGTAGAATTTAGTGAGTCCTGGTAGCAATGGGTGTGGAGCTGGTGGCTGTCAGATGACATGGCAAAAAAGAGAGATCTGCAAGAAATGGTGGAAAAGACACAATTTAAGTAGAAAATAAATGTCCTGGAAACTATAATCACTACTGACCTTCTGCTTGGGCTTCTTGCCTTTCACAGTTCACAAGTACTTTCTAAAAAGTACAGTACTCTAGTCTAAGTGTTTAGAAACAGTCAGTTTCCATTTTCACTTTCCCCAGAGAGCTTTTCCCTAAATTAGGTGCAGGATTTTTTAAAATTCTGGTGGGTTTTTGTCCAATTCATAAAACGCAAGAGATAAAAATCATCCTTGGTTTCTACATTTTAACAATAACTATCTCAAGATTAACAAGTATCATCTCCCCAAACTCACTAGAGCCATTTTTGGGACATCCAGAGATGTCATGTACCTTAAGCAAAGATAGAAGTATTTTCAAACTAGATAGCTTTTCACCACTGTGGTCATTAAGCCAATTATATTAACCATATCATCAAAACAAAACAAAAAAAACATTAGTTTTTAGTCTCTTGACATCATAATTTCAGAAGTTATCCAGTCACTGATGGAGCTTTTAAACCTTGAAGCTGCAACAACTGAACAAGTTCTCTCTTTTCCCCATACCTTTCCTAACAAGCTTCTTGATATTTCATGTTACAAGAGGATCACTGTTTTAGTCCACAGTTTTCCCTGAGCCCACACAAGTGCACAGCAGGTATGGACAAAGTCGTTTTGACCCCTTGTGACAGAGATGACATAAAACCCAAGGAAATGACCTCTACCCAGCCAGTGTAGGATCACTGCCAGTGCTCTCAAAACAAATAATGCTGGGCAGCACTCCAGCTTGTCCTCACCTCTGGCACCACAGGAGGTGGCTGCAAAGAGGGATCCAGTGAAAGGCTGGAGGTGAAACTCCCCTCTCTCTGTAGGGTGAATCTGCAACTCAGCACTGCCTCTGTTAAGGGTGTGTGCTCTGGGGCTCTCAGGCTGCAAATCCACAAGTTCATGCTGGCTGTAGAAGGTGCACACTCATGACACCAGAGGCAGGGTAAAAATGAAACAAGAAAATTTTTAGCCAAAGTCTTGCAGTTCTTCTGTCCTTTTTTATAGTGCACTCAGTCGTTTCTATTTTTAGAAAACCCTCGTTTCTACCAGTTGTTGCAGTACCCTATACATTATTAAAATTTATGTTAGCAGTTTTACATCTAAGGGGAGTTGTGATCAAAGATTTTGAATTTCACCAGATTTAGAGATCCATTTTTGCTGATTGAATCGAATCTTCCACTGACCTACTACCCATATTGCCTTGGTGTCACACAGGTGTTGCAACATTTATACAACTAAGTTATTTTAATATGCTCATATATATCTGTATCTACCCACACAAATACATATATGTCTTTTCTAAAAGAACCCACTGTGTTGAACAAAAAGATCCAGAGTATTTGTGCATTGCTTCCAGGCCAAGTACTACCAGATATTTTGTTGTGCAGATGTAGAGAGTGAAAGCCAGATTTTCTCATTTTAGACAACTTTCCCTCAGATATATTCTATGCACTCTGCCTCCTTAGCAGGTCTCTAACAGAAACCTGCATAATTTCTTGTGCACTATATCAATAAAATAAAAATGTGTGGAACAGGAAAGGTACATACACATGGTGAACAAAAGCACTCTGCAAATGTAACAGGGAAGTTCACTCTTACCATCAAGGACACAGAGGCTGCAGGGGCTCACATTCAACACTCTCATATGTGATCCTTTTAAAGTGATATTGACAGGCTTCAAGAGTCACGTAGCAGTGTAACAGATAAGAACATGCCCTTTGCTCCCTTTGCCAACCAAGAGCTCTACAGCTGATCCAGGCAGCTATCAGTGCTTGTAATTAATTCCATTTCCATTGTTAATGTCAGCATGCTAACAGGCTGCAATTTTCCCATCACCTGAAATCCACTTGTGTTGGCTGTTTTCCATCATGAAATTAAATTGAGCGTGACAACATTAAAAAATAATAATATTTGTAATCACATTCTTACAAAAATTCTCATTGTGGGTTGTGTATCAGGGACTTGCAACCAGCAGCAATATCCTCTAGCATAGGGTTTGCTCCAATTTGGACTGTATGCAGAAAAAAGGTGAATTCCCATCCTTCATACATGTTACTGCTCCTGCAGTCACTTCTGCATATCAGTATAGTCTGCCACAGAGGGTTCAAAGGAGTCAAGAGGATTAAACACCAGAGCAATAGCTGCCTACAAGGTGAAAACCTTACATTTAATCTCTTTAAAAGATAACACCTGCAAAGGCTCTCACACACACCTGCATGAAACAACACTCACTAATGGAAATCCTCAGACAGAAATATTGAGGCTCAGGTGAAAGAAAGCTTCAAACATATCTTGTTACAAATTATACTGTGGGAAGTTTGAAGTGCTCTTTTACAAAGTTTACAGCGTTCAAATACGCTGTATATATGTGTACAAAGAAACCAAGGCTCTATTTGCTTTCTTTATGTAGCAATGGACATTACTGCAGAAGCCTCTGCAGCTGAAAGAAGGGATGCATTTGAAACGGATTTGTCACCTCACGCACAACACATTCAGATGGATGAAACAGACCAAACAGTGACATCACTGAAAGCAATACCCAGGGTGATGCTGGCAAGGAAAGCTCCAAAGAAAACTCTGAAGAAATTTATTTTTGCCCCACTGCAGGTGAAACCATGACCAAACATGGGCCAATGTGACATATATTACATATGAACATATAGAATATTCTAACCAGCTACTCCCAACAGCATCTGAACACTGTTGCTCAGACAGACCAGTGTTCCACACTACCATAATTGTAACAATTCTCCTATGGCCTTGGGCCCGCCCAAACTCTGCATTTCACACATGCACTGCTGGCACTGATTGCTCAGGGTGCACAAAAATCCCCTGAGAAGAGGCCCAACACTGCCCACACACCTCCCGAGGTGCCAGACCTCCCACCAAGCCCGGGGTCCAGCCCATGGCTTCTGGGAAAGGCTGGGAAGCAGAAAGCTCTGGATGGTCCTTCCAACACCTCCGCTGTATGGAGAACGAGGTGCCAAACTTTTTAAAAATCCAACCTCAAAATATTGTACCTCTTCAATGTCACAGCCATGCAACACCTTTGCATTTTGTGAATCAGCTAATCAGGAATGGATTGCCCACATGAAACATGGATAGAAACATACTGATTTTGTGGGTACACAGGCACCCAAACCAACTTCCTCTGTGCATGCTGGGCAGAGCAGACTGCTTGGTTTAACTTTCATTTTTAAAATGTAAAAATATAATGTATAGGAAAGGAATTTTAGTCAAAAGTATATATTTTAAGTTCTGAGTCTGTCTGAAAGATTTTGATTTGAAAGAAAATTCACACATGAAATTCACACCTGAATACACAAATAAGAAAGTATGAATTTTTGAGGCAGTTACTCTACTATGAATATATAGAAAATTGTTAGACAAGCAGAGAAAGGATTAGGATAGAAATGGAATTAACATCCACTATTTTTGGCTTAGCTTCAGATAGCTTATGAGGGGATCTAGGCTTTCACTAATTCCACTGAACTACTTTAAAGCAACAAATGTGTATTTTGCTATGACTTATGATTAAAGTTTTGACCTATTTAATGCACCAGTAAATTTAGTCTCAAAATATTAAATATAATGTATGATATCAATTGAAAGACATTCACTGTAAATTAACAATGATTCTAAAATCCTTCGGTATTTTTCAATTCCACACATGTACTTTAATTGAAATTTTGACAACACTCTCATCTTTTAGTTTGAAACTGTTCCCCTTTGTCCTATCTGTCCACTTAAAAAGTCCTTTTCCCTCTTTTTTAAGAACCCTCATTTAGTACTTTGTTACTATAGCAAGTTAACAGACAGTGAGGCAGTGAGAATCACCTGACATGTTGAACAACACAAGTTAGCCACAGAATTTGGGAAGAGTCAGAGAAATGTTTCTATTTACTAGAAATATGCATGCAATGCCAGAGACTTCTCTAAATTTTCCACACTTACTGTTTCTTTATATAACTCCAGTGGTCAACCCACAAGTCAAGACAATTTGTAATAATGACTGCAGCTGTTTCACCCATCTTCACTTGGCTGATCATACAACAAATTTTTTTTTCCTAATTTTATGCTTTCAAAATCAGCATCTGACTGCAAAATAAGTTATAAAATTAAAGCCAGTTTCAGGGATGAGAACACTAACATGCAAATGTGGAATTTGGAAAAGCTAAGCAATCTGATCCATACCAACATTTTCGGATGCTGACCAGGACCCTCCGTGGCAGCACTAGCCCTTTCAGAGAAGACAACTTCTGAGAAGTGTTAGGGGGTTGCAAGGTCTTTGTCCTGAATTTGCTCCTTCATTTGCATCATTCTGGCCCTGCTGTGCAATAATCAGCTCCACAAAGCAAACACAGAATTTCTGCAACAACACCAAACTCAAAACCAAACACAATTATATTTTATACAAGAAGAATAGTGTCATTTTAATTAATTTAAGGAATATACTTGAATAGAAGGCTGCTAGATAGAGGTTCTTAACTTTATTTAATCTTATTACAAATACCATGGTTATAAATTTGAAAGTTAAGAGCAGATTACAGCTAAAATGATGGAACTTTCATTAGATCCTAAGGGGCAGCAGTCACTTAGCCATAAACACTGCTGACCCCTGACTGGGGCACAAGACAGCACATACAGGAACCTGCATTTCTGCCCAAACAGCCAAGCTCCCTCAGGTACCAGTAGCAATTCAGTATATTCACACTGGGCTCTCTGCAGGCTTGCTGTTTTATAATCAATGTGGCTTCCTTACTGCAATCCATGACTAAACTTCTAAGATACATGGTTAATGTATCAAAATAATATAAGAAGGATCATCATCTAATATGACATTCATTTCTTTTAGAGCTGTACTAATTTTAAAGAAACTTATACCATCACAATAAAAAAAATAAGAGTGTACTTATGTCTACAAATTGTCCTTGCTTGCCCACGTGGAAAACTACTTGCACAAGATAAGAAAGATCTGTTTTGCTTTAGACAAAGATTGCCATGATAGCATTATGAGATCTGATGGCCTCTCCCTTACTACTACTACTACTGAAGGACATAGTTCATTAACAGTAATCACTTACATTTACATTGGGGGGGAGTCAAACCACTCGAAAGGCATTGGCAAAACAGGATTAGCCATGGTAAAAAGCTTAGAGATTCAAGTGTCTGGGATTAGGAATTTTGTTGCTGGTGTTTTTAATTGTGATTTTATTTTGGTGAGGTATAAGTGAGAGGAATAAACAGAGGAGTTACAGTAGGGGAAAAGGTGTCACTTGTCAGAGAACATAAAAAAATGTCTCTAAATTCTGTCAATACAAAAAATAATTTCTCTAAATTCTCTCAGCTAGATTAATAAAGACTCAGGTTGAGACCCCAATCACTTAACATTTAATCCATCATCTTTCTGTAGGCTTTCCATTTTGGAATAGCATTATAAACAAACCATGCCTTGTTCAGTTTAATCTTTGCTAATGCCCTTTTGTAAATGTTTTCTATCATCCTAAGAATTTCCAAGTATCAGCCAGATCTACAGGACAGACTGGCTTGGGCATCTAGAGATACCAACAGACAAATACAACAGACAAGTGCACACTTTGTATGCAAAGGAATGGGGTTGTTTTCCAGTTCTGCACTGCAAGAAGCACTGGGGACAGTGGGGCCGTGTCACTGGGACCATAATTCATGAGGGGGAGGGGGAGTACACTTGGGAGGCTAGAAAACATGAGAGCAGGAGAGCTGTGACCCTCAGTGCTCAGCACTGCCAAAGCAGAGGCCTTGTGGCTGATGCCCTTACAAGGCCACTGGTCACAGCTTCATTAGTTTCTGCTAATCATCACTGTGGCTGCCAGTGATGGGCAAGAAACAGAAATCTTTTCCTGAAAAGATTTCTGTTTCTTGCCCATCCTGTGCTGAGCACACT